AAGAACATGCTTCATCGTTTTGGCTTGTAGTTAGTTGGTGTGTGTAAATATACCACGCGTGCTTAATCATGGCCACTGAATTGCTACTTCTTGAAAAGAGGATGCAAGTACACTTGTATCTTTCATCTCTCCATAGATTTAAAGAAGTGACATTTGAATCCGTTGTAACTATTTTTTTACATGGTCTCTAAATTTTAAGCTTGAGAGAATCTATTCTAGATAGCTTTGGAAGTGTTGCTTGCAGAAATCAAAACACTTGTGCACTCATCTGCCTATTATGGTCTAATACTGGTTGATAAACTGGAATTTCTGTCTCTGTATCTATTATGGTAGTCTTATGGCTTCAATAGTCTTTTCTGACCAATGATGGTCATTGGTATTGAAAAGGGAATGCCTCTGTGATCTAAAACCACACCGGGAGTGTACCACATAATTGCATTTTTAAACCAGTCCCCCTGATGGTGAATTAGCTCTTAATTTGACAGTATTAAAACTCTATTGAAAGCTTATGGCTTCAATTATTATAATGCTAATGTAGCTTAATATGATATATTTGATAAAATAATTTTTAAATATTTACTTGAGAATGTATATTACTCTTATAGGCCTTCTGTTAGCGCAAAATTATTTTCACCTGAAACATGTAAATTTAAGATTGAAATGGCTCAGAATTTAAAACAAAATATAACTTGTCTTTCAGCAAAGGAATCTGCATTATTTACCCCATTCTATAAAGGGGCACGGAGAACATCTAACTGATGTTTCACAGTCCTGCTGAACACTGATGTAAGACAATGCATATTTTCAAAATCTAAATTAACCTTTTATTTGTAACTTAAAATAATAATTTTTTTTTAGCAGCTTGTCATTTTTTCCAGCAGCTGCACTTGTTAACCTGTTTGGGGAGCATGTTGAGGTTTTCTTTTCTTCTCTTCATAAACTATCCTACCTGTTTTACCTGTAAGGCTGATTGATAACGTGACCTGTTAGAAATACTTGGGTTCAGATAAAAATTTTTTAAAAATTAAAATGAATCCCTTCTATAATAATCATTCAAGCATTGTAACTTTTTAAATGGACTCATCAAACCTAACTTTAAAAATAGTATTTCTTTGGTTAGTGCAGAAACCTACCCACAACGCTTTCTGAAAGCTACTTATACTCTGGTATGTCACTGAATTTTTTACAATGTTAATGTATAGTGTTGGACACATTTGAATTATATAGTAGAGGATTTGATTTTTAAAAATTGCATTTAAGCTCTGCAAATATTGAGAGAATATAAACTATATATTTTTAAACCATTGTAAGTATGCTTCAAGCCTGTAAATGGTCTAAAAATATTGTGTAATAGTTTTAAACTGTTTGCATGCTTGAGGTGTGTACAATCTTACATTATTTTTACAGGTTTGAAGTGAATTTATTACATGATTGATGGAAAATTGTTCTAAAAATTTCTAGTGTAGATGTACTCTTCAAATTTGGGGGCACTGCTAACTTTTGTGGTTTCATTTTTAGATTTTTTAATTCAAAACCAGTGTTCATAATTTTTCTTGTTGCAAATATTTAGTGTGGTGTAGTTTATGCCAGAGAATAAATCTATAAATCATGCCAAGTACTTACATATATGGTAGCTTTGACTTTTTTATTTTTATTTTTAAAGCAGCAAACACTAATGCATTTTTTTTAAAAGAAGAGAAACCAAAAACCCTAACATTTTAGACTTTCTAATAATGCTTTATCTTAGATATCACAATTTAATTTTTGCGGCATTTCAACTTTCAATGTCAAGTTAAATTAGATAATTTAAATAGTGTTAATCAGATTTTTAAAATTTTAATTTATGCACAGTAAAGTAGGTTTTTTTCAGAATCCCCTTTGTACAAATTCCTTTGGGTAAAACTAAGGTGGTAATACGTTGTCGCCAAATAAAAACAGTCGTATGAAAAAATGCTGCATGTTCAAACCCTAGAGCTAGACACTCATTCTAGTGTGATAAAATCCAGATAAACCCTTTACAGGGTCTTAACTGATGACAGATTATGTGTTTTCAGAAAGATTATCCTTTTTTATTATTGTGGGTTAAAAATGCATTACTGACTTCTTAAAAAATCTAAATATTTTCTAAACTGATAATACAGAAGCGTGTCCTATGTCTGTCAAAACCTTGGGGTGTCAAGGAAAAACAAGTTTGAGACATCTCTGTAAAACAAAGCAGTAATAAGGCAAACTATGATGTGGGTTTAACTGACACATAGTGACTGTAAGTACTAGATACATATTTCAAATTACATGTGTTCAGAAATAGGAATTGTCTTTCAGCCACGCTGTTTGTCTTCACAGAATTCCGCAATTTGCTTAATTCTAGAGTAGTATAATTCAAATATATTGTATGCTGCTAGGTTTAAGAATGATTCTTATTTTACTTTCAATTGTCTTTCATTATAAATCAGCCACATCACTAGTAGGAAGTATTATTAAAATATTGCAGATTTTACACTGAAATTTAATTCTCTGATTCATATATTATATATAACATTAAGCATGTTTGTTTTTGGGAGTCAAAGGAGCTCATTTGAGTGAAAAATTTTACAATAGTCGCACAGATCTTGATGCATCTTCTATCTGTAATAGCAGAGTTTTTATGATTTTTATCATGGAAAACTTGACACACCTTACTTTTTAAGGTTGTATAATCTGTCCCTTACTCTGAAATATAGTGTACAAAGTCTTGACCTGGAAGTGAAGTTGTTATTCTATTTGGGGTTTTGAGAAGCCTCTGACTGACTGACTGCTGCCAAATATGTATATATAATATGCTGGTTAGTTTTTAGAATATTTTAATGTACTCAAGTGGTTTTGTATTTCTTAAATGGAAAGTTTTCATTCTTATTGTATTTTGGTGGGGAATTTTTGTTTAGAAACAGCAGTGCATTTGCATCAAATTGGAGGGGTTTTAGAACACACATTTTGTGCTCATATGTGACAGCCAGATTGACATGATATTCTGTAATGGCTCCTTGCAGTTGTTGCGGTCCCTGGAGGTAATCTGTGTACTAAAAAGAGTTTTTATTATATGTACAGTACATGCAAAAATATGGATTTTCACAGTAAATCTTTAATCATTAGAGTCCAGTGCATGAAACCCTTTTTAAATTAGTAAAATATTTTGAGTAAATTTATATAGATAACATGACTTCATGTCAATTTTTTAAAAATTCTCTCTAGAAGTGTTGCAGAGATACTATAATAGGGGCATTAAAATTACTTATAAAAACGTTAAACAGCTTTGTGCTCACTGTATAATTGATATTTGGGTGAATTTAAAAAAAAAATCTTTCACAACTGTCCTAAAAGTGTAGTTTTCTGAATTTCTGTTTACAGCTATTTGAAATATAAAACAGCCTTAATTTTAAATTTCTGGCTTATTTTTTTCCAATTTGTCTTTCAATTTTAGCACTAAACATACTTTTTATACATTTTTGGTTTTGATCCCAAATGTGCATTTACACTTTTAAATATGCACTTATTCTATAAATATGATTTCCTTGGGACTGCTTGAAGTTTATCATGTAAATTAGATGTGATTTATGTTTAAATATATTTGCCAGATCATAATGCTTCCTAAGGATTCATGTTAAGATAATTTTGGAAATGCATACTGATATGGAATGTGTAGTTAAAATCTTTATGAAACATTTTTTGTGTATAGGCAGCAGCTACTGTGACTTTATATTTTTAGCTATTTCCCTCTGGTTTAAAAAAAGCCCAACCTAGTTGGCATTGTGTATCCAGTATCTTACTTTAATTCCTAGATTTTTCAGGCATCACACATACATAAAATATTGAAAATACCATAAACTTATTAATCTTTCAATATTTATAAATGGCTAAACTGACTTTGAGAACTAATATACTAAGTTTCAAACAGGAGGGAATCTTTAGACCATTTTAAAATATCTGGGACAAATTTATATTCATATGTCCTTACATTAACGTTAGGGGTATGTATCAGTGCAACTGTAATGCTTAGCTTCTTGGACAGTTAGGCTAAATGCTGGATAGTTAGGTCCATATAGCCACAGCAGATGCTGAGTAACTCCTTGCAGGTTGCCTTAAGGATTTTCTTAATGCTAGTTTTCACTGCAAATAGATTAATCTCCCTATAGATAATGGATAGTGCTTACAATGGCTACATGTTTCTAAACTGGGTAGATTACAATGCAAAACTTTACTACCCTTTTTTATTAGTTTGGTAGAAAGCAAAATCAGGAAAGGTATTTCCTTATTTTAAGGAATGAACAGTTCATTAATCTTTTGTAGTTTTTTAAAGGCAAAAATTATATGAAATTATATTTTAGTCTTAGGAAATATTGATTGGTAGTCTCAATATTTGAAGTTCTTATCCTGAATTTGTGTAAAATATGGATGAATTTTAGACATGTTAGTGGAGAGGCCTGTTCAGACCTATCCTCAATAGTTCAAAATGGGACTAAATTAGGAAGTATAAAAATAAATATTCCCTTGTATCCTTTTTTTTCTTAGCATGTAACTTGGGGGGTTGGATTTGGGAGGAGAGGGTGGTGTTACCGTATCATGTAGAAATTACTCTATGGCTTTTTTGATATTTCAACTGAGCATTGTTTTATTTGAGTGATGGTTCAAGGCAAGTACTAGAGTGATTTGTGTGTGTAAACTGAAAAGCTCACTGTCATTTTACAAGTATGGCTTCTAAAGATGAATATCTTGTAGTGAAAAATATGTTAATCAAAAAAATGACAGCAGGTTTGTAGGCATGTCTGTTGTGGAATGATTTAAAATGACTGAAGTGATTCTGCCTGGAAATGAATCAGATAACATTCTGATAATGTACAGTGGTTCAAACCTACAATTGTTAAAATAGCCACACTTGTTCACACATAGTAAACAATGAAGATGTAAATATTCCTAACCTCCCTCAACTGCAGCACTTATAAACTTTACAAACATAATCACTGGCTTTAAAAATATTATATTCTGAACTAATTGTACAACTAAAGTTTAGTACAATGGGATCCTTGACTAGGGGCTCCTCGGTGCTACAGTAATACAAATAATTTCTAATACACAGTAAATTAAGGGCTTGATTCTGCAACATTTATTTATGTGGATTGTTAGCATGAGAAGAGTTGTAGCATTTGAGACCGAACTGACTTGAGCTGCATTTGTTTAACTAGTAAAATGTACATTAGCCAAATAGTGCTGTTCCTCATTTCCCTTTTCCTCTGTTTAAGAAACATATTCAGAACTCCCTCACTCCTGGAGCACTGCCACTTACTGTACTTGTATAGCAGTATACCATAGTGGCATTTTCCCTAAAAATCTTCACCGGCTCACGGACATCTTAGCACCAAGACTGCTTGAATTAAAAGTAAGTAGTTCTGTCAATAAAACATAGTTTTGTGTAGCCACACTGATAGTGTCAAATCGGGGCATAAATATCAGATGTCAGAATCTAGAACAGAGATGATGACTTTTAGAGACATCAGCTGATATGCATTTGGAAGATGATACTAACATTTGGTATCACAGGCTCACCTTCTAAACACTTGTTACCTGCTTTTATGTAGAGGAAGTGCAATCCATGCTTTGGCTCCCATCCAAAGTGACCCAGTTTGATGGGGAGGAGGATGAAAGAGAATGCTGTAGTTAGAGGTCAATGCTTTTAAATAAAGGAAAAAATAAACACATTAAAGTATGAGGAACATTTATAGAAAGATTGGAGGGAAAACAGATGTGAATGAAGAAAAGATGCATCAGGATATAGAAATGGGAAGTAGGAAGAGAAAAGAAAACTTGTGTTTTCTTCATGTCACAGTTTACTCTGATTTAGTACAAAAAGCATTCTGAATTTTTTCCCCAGCTTTTGAGAGGGAAGTGTAAGTATTCCCCATTACCCACTTTGGATTCCTATTAGATGCTGTCTGTCACCACCCACCCTGTGATTTTAGGAAAGTGTTAACTTTTCAAAGTATCTTTTTTTTAAGTGCGGGGTAGCATATTGCTCTAAAATGGAAAACCTCAGCCCTATTCCTCCATGAAATATTAAGCACTTTCATCCTTTGATCTCAAAAGTGTTTTACAAAGGAGGGTAAGTATCATTATCCCCATTTTATGGACATCTGAGGCACAAATGAAGTGTCTTTTTCCCCCAAGGTAGGTCTCCTATGACTCCTAGTTCTCTGCGTTAGCCACTGGACTGCAGCAGCAGCCCAATGGCTGAGAAAGCTAGAAAAAGATGCAATGCTTTGAAAACCAATGAGTAATGAAATCATTGAAGAAGGATGAGTAAAACTTGAAGCTAAAGCTGTGTTTGTCCTATGGTTAGGTAAAGAGGATTTGCTATGTCCCAGTCTTCTGTTTGTTTTATGTTTTGCCCTCCATCAACCAGACCTTATAGTGTTTGGTGCTTGCTTTTATATGTGGCTCTTGGCCTTTCTACTGCAGGCTGACTTGAGTTGAATGTGCTTTAAAAATGGTTTGGGGGAAGTGGAAAATAATTTTGAAATCAGATGGATAGCTCCAGAAGCACTTAGTTCAAATAAAAGTGAAAGTTGTGATTTCTTGAGCTATGCAGACCAGGACCTCTGGGCAGGATTTTCAATGCCTAAAGATAGGCAACAAGCTGGATTTTCAAAAGCACCAAAGCAGGTTAAGTGCCTAACTCCCTATTTTTTAAAATCCCACTCTAGATAGCTATGTTTAAGCTCCTAAATACCCCTGAAAATCTTCCTCTGTGTTCACCTTTGTAATTACAAAGGTGAAGAAAGGGCACAAATTGGCAACTTTTTTACAACTCAGTTTTATAGTGGTTAATGCTGTGTATATCACCTCACCATCCCCTACTGAGAGGTAGCTGGCATTGGGTGGGAATAGAAACACCAGTGAACTAATTAACCTCCCTCTCCCCCGACACACTCACCCAACCCATTTGTACTATACTGGGGAAGATGTGCAGCATGGCATTACACGAAGCACGATCTGTTGGAAAGGGCTACAACATGTGGAAATGTGCAGCAGTTTTTTCCGTGCCCTTTGCCATTTGAGTCAAAGCCTGGATCTTCCACCCATATTTAGCTGACGACCTCTCCCTGCCTAAAATCCATGCTGATTGTAGGATCATAGCCTTAGTTAGTTTAGTCTGGGGTAGTGAATATAGTACTTTGACTCTCCTAATTTGTTCCATCATCTCAAACCATACCCATTTTCTGGAGCTTGTATGCTTTGTGCATGGGACCATTTTTTGTGCTATGTGATGCTGCAACAACACGCCAGTGAGGTGGTTTGAGATTGTTTCACACAATTTGAAAATAGGTTTTGTGTTGCTGCACTCTTTAGTGCACAAGGCATGCGAGCATGTGATCCTAGACGTGTCAAAAATCTTGCTGGCATAGACTCCTTCTGGAAACAAAAATAAAAATGTGGGATTCTAAGTGAAACCACCACAAAAGCCAGAGCCTCCAAAATAATGTTGTTGTTTTTTTGGGGGGGGGGGGGAAAGAGGGATGTAACTATTCCTTTAAAACAGTGTTTTCATTAGGGCCCTGTCTAAAGAATTGCAGAGGGAAATCTGTCAAAACTAAGACAATTGGAAGATGCTGTACCCGCTGAATAAGGAAGGGCACTTGGAAGAAATGCATACATCAAGTGTTAAACCTTGTGAGTTATGTATGATATGGGGCAAAGTTTTAACTAATACTGTATAGAGAAAACTCTTGAAACTCAGCTTGTGAACAGTGGCCTATTTTTATTATAAACACTTCAAATAATTACGACTGTACAGCAGAACAATTAAGATAGGTACAGAAATGAAAGATATTGGGAAATGGTTTGGGCTTCTTTGAAAAATGTTGGTTTGGGAGGAAAAACTGATATATTTTGATTCAGAAGGGCCACCATGGTGCTTCATTGGAATTGTAGTTCAGGTGTCTCACTCCTATTCTCTCTAAGCTGGGCTCTCTGTTAGACAGGGCCGGCTCCAGGCACCAGCCTCGCAAGCAGGTGCTTGAGACGGCCACTCCGGAGAGGGGCGGCACGTCCAGGTATTCGGCGGCAATTCGGTGGATGGTCCCTCACTCCTGCTCGGAGCGAAGGACCTCCCACCAAATTGACGCCACAGATCGTGATCGCAGCTTTTTTTTTTTT